TCCCCCCTCCTCACCTTCTTCGCCGGCCTCTCCGCCTCCTCCCTCCGCACCCCGCTCTCCGCCCCCTCCGTCGCTTCTCCGCCTCCCTCATCCTTCTTCGCCTTCTCCGCCTCCTTCCGGTGCTTGCGGTAGTTGTTTCGCTTGTCGCATTGGATCTCCTGATACTTCTGCATCTCGCGCTCCACGCGTGCCATGAATGGGTGGAATTCCAGCTCATTCAGCGCCGCGAGGACGTCCGGGCCTTGGATTACGCGGTGGTTGGAGCGCTCGGCGGTGTCGTAGGCACTGCGGGAGTTAGTAGGGGTTGGAGGGGGTGCGGGGGGACGTACTAGGCAGCGAGGTAGTTCACGAAAACGGTCGCACTTTTCGAGATGGCAAGGAGCGCGTCTTTTTGAATCTGGGTGTTGGGTGGAAGGACTCCTTTCGAGAGTCGCTGGATCATGGTCTTTGGGAGTGAGAGGTCCTAGGGAGGAGCTTAGCGTTGCATTCATATTGTAGCAATTCATATTATAGAGTGATCGATGCGGGATTGTACCTCGACGCTTAATCCTTCCATCTCCTGCTGTTTCGCGGCCAGCTCGGCTGGGCTGAGGTTGTTGGTCGCATCGTTATCGGCGGAGACGGAGGCGTTAGATTTCCGCGCAGGCATTGTTAGTTGGGTTGGTGCAGTTCCGAAGGTTCTTGGGGATATCACTACGCAACAGCCGTGCACATGAGGGTATTCAAATTCGAGAGTGTGAATCGTGAAGCATAAAGTAAAAGGGGCGGGGTTGGTAAATGGTGGTGGTCAAGCGGCGGGCACTTTTTTGGAGACGCGTCCAGATCGCGTGAAGCAAGGGGTAAAGTTCGGATATAAAAGGTCTCCCTACTGTAACGTCCCCCGCCTGGAACTCACTCCTCCACTTCTATGCCAGAACACCTTTCAAGGCACGGAGTAAAATCACTTTTATTCACCGGTAGGCAAGTCTGTTTATTCGTACATATGGGGGGTAGAAAGGAAGATTGCCCTGGTTTGATCTATAATCGATATGGCTTGACCAGCACATAGCCCCCAACACATGATGGGGGAGCGGGTGGACATAATGGAGTTATCGGGGGTGGAAAAAGCCAGTTTGTAAATGGAACTTCACATGATAGACTATAGATCCATTGCTCCAAACAATGATGAATTGAATTCCACTACTCGATTAAAACTTCGCGATGCTCCCGAAATCTCCGTATCATAACGCCGTGATGCTCGGTGGTATCTGTATACGTAAGGAAACCCAAGCAAACACCCATCGCTGATGCAATCCATCCATGGGAGCGGACGAAGATCGGTTGCTCCAACTCCATGCTATATATGTATGCCCACCAAACGGTGCGGCTTCGCCAAAAACAAAAGGAACACGATGCTCGGGTAGGGATGACATCAGGGGCAAACGAATGATCGCGAATTTCTTCGTGTCGAGAAAGAGAAGGAACGAGCGTCCAAGGCCGTCTCACTCACGGATTCAGCTATGCGACGAATGCCTACTAATACTCGACGCCGCACTGAAACTACTCGCCTCGCTCCCCGGCGTCCGCGCCGTCTCGTCCACCTGCAAACTCAACTGCCGCCGCACCGGTATGATCCAGTCATGCTGCAACAACTCGGCCGCGCTGCCGCGCTTCGTGGGGTCGCGCTCGAAGCATTTGTTCAAGAAGTCCACGCCCAGGTGACTCAACTGATCGCGGCTCGGCAGCTGCGGCGGGTTGCCCTGCGCGATGTTGTACATGATCGCCCACTCGTTGTCTAGTGCCGCCCACGGGCGGCGGCCCGTCACCATCTCGAGGATCACGCAGCCGAGCGACCAGATGTCGACGGCGCCGAGGCGGCCTTCGGTGTTGCCTTTGATCACTTCAGGGGACATATACATAGGCGTGCCGGTCATCGAGTTCTGGCGGCCGTGGATGGGGGGTCCGGGGTTGCGGATGCCGGAGAGGTCGGAAGGGCTGACGTTTTGTTGGTGGGTGGAGGATTGGGCGTGTTGGGGTTCGCGTTGGTATATGAAGGTGGTGCTGTGGCGGGCGATGACTTTGGCGGTACCGAAGTCGACGAATTTGATGATGCCGTCTTGGTCGAAGAGGATGTCTAGGAAGGCACAGTTAGTACCGCATCACGATGAAATTGAGGTTTGACTTACTCTCGGGCTTGATGTCCCGATGGACCACCCTCCTCTCGTGCAAATACGCGAGGCCCTCAAGCATCTGCAGCGCATATACCTGGATGATATTCTCATCCTCGATCCGACCATGCTCCAGCAGCGCAGACACGCTACCGCCATTGCAATACTCCATGAAGATGTACACCTTGTCACGATGCGGCTCGATACCATAGTAGCTCACAATGTTCGGATGGTCGAGCACCTGAAGCACGCTCATCTCATCGCGGATTTGGCCCACGATGTTGGGAATGAGTTGCGGATCCTGTAACCGGATCTCCTTGACAGCCATGAGCTGACCCGTGTCCATGTTGAGCGCGGCATACACCGAGCCGAACGTGCCACCACCAACGAACTGTCCTTGCTGCCAGCGAAGCGTGACGTTGCTTGCACTAGCGGACAAATACGTGAGCGCTCGCTCGGCCTCGTTGGTCCCTTCCAATACTCGTCCCAGCGCCTGTCTCTCCGATTCTTTTTCTCTTCGCAGTCGCTCAATCTCATCCAGCTGCTCCACCCACTGCAATCGCACCGCCATGGCACTCTCCTCGTCATCCTTCAATTTGCTCACGTCGAGAAAATGCTTGCCGATTTGCTTCTGCTGCTTCTCGATCTGTGCAGCCAGCGTGCTCCGTGCGCCCATGATATCGAAGTGGGAGATCAACAGCGACATGCAGCCGGCAACCTTCGCGCGAAGCTTGGCATAATCCCCGTCGGAAAGAGATAGCAGGTTGTTGCCGCGGGTCATCACCATGGCGAATTCCAGCGCAACAACCGCCCAACGAAACGTCCGCTTATCGGACGCGACGCAGTCGTCGCAGATGAAGGCGATCCATTCGAGCGCGAGCTTGGTGAGACGCGCATTGTTGAGCGCACGGCGGTTGAAGTCCATGTAGAGAACGGACCGCTGACCAAACTCCGTCGCGAAGGCAAAGCAGGTCTGGATGAGTTCCTGACACTCGTAGCCTTTCGTCTGGTTGCGAATGATTTCGACGCTGTCCATGATGGTATTCGAGAGTTTGTAGGCGGTCTTCTTGATACGGTGCAGCTCCTGGTTGACACGGGGGAGGTTGGCACGTTCTTCGATGAGGATGTTTAGGGGCATGCTGATGGCCTGGGTGAAGGATAGTTTGGCGTTGGCGAGGCGTTGCTGCGAGCCATCGGCGACCAGACGGAGCCGTCCGGTCTTGAGGTCGAGAACAGGAGATTGGAAAGACATCTTGACAATGGCGCCGGCCCAAATCAGCGGGCTTTCCGGTTTCAGAATCAACACGTAGGGATTCGAAGGATCGTCGGGATTGTCCTCGGGATGGTAGTAGGTCCCCATGAGCGAAAAAATATCGGAATCTCGATCCTCCAATGCGGGAGACGCAATGATGTAGATATCTTCGTTTTGGGCCATGGTGTTCTCCACCAGGAAGTGGCCGGAATAGATGAGGGCGTCGTACAGCTCCATCTGCTGCTCGCGATCGATATTGATGTTGTACTCGGTACAATTCTCGAATCGGTCGGTGAGCGTTCTCGAGAAGCGGAACAATGCACGCTGTCGGACGCGGACCGAATCGAGGATCAGCTTATACCGCTTCTCCATCTCGTTCTTTCCAATCTCCTCGAGTGGACGGCGTAGCTCTTGTTCAAAATGGCCGGTCAGTCTCGCCATACTCTTCGAGGTGAGCATGCTGAACTGCTCGGCGACCTCAACATCGCCACCGTTGAGATGCCGGCCGAGTTCATTGGATGTCGTCCATTCATGAAGCAGGATCTCCGCTTCTTTGAACGTATTCTTGTTGGCGCTCAATTTCCAGTTCAACATTCGGAAATAAAATTTCATAGCGTCCACGACAACCACGTCGAAGTCTTCCTCAATGCAATCCGGTGGGTCCCAACCCGGTTGTGGGCGAGAAATGATCCCATAGGCTTCCTTGACAAGAACAGCCAAGTGCAGCAAAAGTTGAAATTGGGCGATCATCTGTTCGGTCATCAGAACACCTTGCTGAGCAGGGTCCTTCATCGACTTTGCGAGGTCAAGCCTCATTTTGATGATCTCCTTCACCAAGCGAGTGGGGAAGTTAATGAGAATCTGAAGCTCTTCAATGAACGGTGGAAGATGCCTCTCATGGAACCCTTCGGCAAACTGGATCACGCTGTCCTTCGCCTTCTGGGTGACCATGGCCAGGCTTCCGAGGATGTTCTTTTCGCGAACCAGCTTCTCCAGAGCGTTCTCGCCGGGGTGTCGAGGTTGGCCGAGCAGATGCTGCAAACCGTCATCCCGCATGATCCGATCGACGAAACTGGAGTCATCGTTCAAATGCAGCGAACTCGAGGTGGAGCTGTCGCCTGGAGTGTCCTGGGGCGAACCTCCATAGCCCAGTCGAGTTCTCGGGTGGCGGAGGTTCAACTCCTCGTTACCAACCCACGTCTTCAAGGTTTCCAACTCAATATGCATCAACTCCATCGTGTTGAGCCATGCGAGAATGGTCTCGGTCGCGCTTTTGTATTCTCTCGATTGAGCACGAGGCTGCTCGGTGAGGAGGTCCTTGGTCGTCGGATACATGGACTCGATCTTATCGATCTTCTTGACGATCTCCTTGACCTGTTCCAGAGGTGCTTTGCCGGTCTCGCTTACCCCTTGTACTTCAAAAGTGATGACCTCTTCGAACATGGTTCGGATATGCTGCCGGCCCTCGTCCAGGAGACGTTGTTGTGTTAATATCGCTCGACCGCACACCTTTGCGCGAATCTCGAGCCACATTTCCGCTTTGAGCGCATGATCTCCCCTGACGTTTTCCCCGGTACCAATGAGCCGCTTCTTCTCTTGCTTCACTACGTCCCCTGTGAGGACGCTGGCAAGCATCGAGTGCCATTCCAATCGCTCTCGGTTGGCGGGGATCTTGAGTTCCTCGACGCTGGGTTGCATGTTATCATCGTTCCCATAATACAACAGCGCTTCCGGATCGTAGGAATCGTTGTCGAAATAGTCGGCACTCGCCAGGCTTTCGCCTTCATCATCCGTCGCCGCCTGCTCGGATGGTGTGTTACTGCCGGGGTCGAGAGAGGGCGTCCGTAGTTCCGGGTCGAAGAAATGGCCCTCACGAGGTCCATCTTGCCGAATTCGCTTCATGTAGGCCGCTTCCTGTGCTCGGTATTCGGCGTTCGGGTTCCTGGGCCACACCCGGGTCATTGGGTTCGTGTCATTCTGAGACGTCTGTCTTGATGATCGGCTCAATGAGCTACCCCGTTGTCTACTTGAGCTAGCCTGGGTGTGGTTTGTCGGTCTTCGCTGGGGAGCGTATGTATTCGATGGTGTTCGAACGACACTGGGACGCGAGGATCGTCCGCCGGTTTGTATTGGAGGGGGGTTTCCCGAAGAACTCGCGCTGGACGCGTTGGTTTCGTGGGATCCGGTGCCTTCACGATGTCGAAGAGCGTTCTGTGCGGATGCGGAGGAGCTCCAACTGCCGGCTAGTGGAGGCAGTTCGTCAATCGATGAATCTTGCAATGGGGTCATCATCTCGGATTGCGAATCGTATCGACCAAGATCGTCGGCGTCCTCAGGACCGCTTCCACCGCTGCCACCGCTACCTTCAGGCATTTCGTCGTGGGATGCGTGGATGGAGGTTGGGGAGTCCTCCTCCGCACCGTAATGGGTCGGCGAGATAGCGGAGCCATTCGAATGGCCCGCGTCGGAGACTTGCATACCTTGGTAGAATCTAGGTCGCGATGGTTCTTTCGTCTTTAGGAGGCGATCTGTTGACAAATGCCACCGTTGGATCCGTGGTTGGGTTCGGGTTGGTCCTTGCTACAGGACCGGATTCGAAGTGGCGACCCGATCTCAGCAATGGCTAGCGTCCTCGACGAGGAGACGCTGGAAAAGAACAAACATGCGAGACCACGAGAAAGGAGGGTATGTCGCTATACACCTGTACAACGAAGATATTAAATTGGTTTTCTCACTCGCATACGGCTCATCCGGAAGGCGAGAGGTTGAATGATCTGTAGGTTGATGGTTGATAGAATCCTAGAATTGACGAACCAGTCCTAACTCCCAAGCTTCAATCCGGAAACGGGGGATTGCAGCGCCGATCGCGTGGCGGATACTCGAAACCGCCAATCGACTGCAACTGGAGTATCAATTTTTAAAAGGTTGAATTTGTGGCGGTGCTGGTATCCCGTCGATAATTGATATCCGTTGATACCTCGCCGTTTCAATATCGTTCTCACTCGGTCTCCTCTCAGCAACAGCATCTGCTAGGCACAAGCGAGCAGTATTCCCCTAAAATATGGATGGAAGAGAGGGGAAATGCAAAGAGAGGGGAAAGGAGACTAGGTGGCTGGTAAGTTTCCGAATAAGGTATCGCGAGCAGCCCGCTAATATGTGTCAGTGTTGTGCCCCCGACTCCTTGGATTGCGATGGGAGAGGGAATCGAGATTTGAAATTTTCTAGGGTTTCTTCGCGTTGCTCTTCACGTGCCTGTGCGAAATAATTAGAAATGTTAAATAAATAAGTACAGGGTATTCCAGAGCCTGATATACGGACGAGTCGGCGGTGAGATGCTTCACAGTGTCAGGTATTTTCATATATCCAAGTCGTTCTACGAGCCTTCATTTTCGTCCCTATCATAAAGAAGTACTACTGGTACTGAGTACCGAGCCCAAACAAAGGACATCGGCCACGGTCTTTCTTTGGAGGATTTAGTTCGACCATGCTATTGTTGTGCTATTCTTTCATAACTGCTATGCTACCCGCGCTACCCATCAAGCTTCGAATCGATAGCTTCATTCCCGATCGGTCTAGTTGGATCATTGGGTCAACGGTTTGGAGGGATGGCGAGCTGTGTGTATGAGAGCTCTTTATCAATGAAACATCGGGTAAATCGCTTCAGAGAGCTTTGGACTACTACTCTTGTTGATGTCGCAGGTGTTACAGATGTTAATCCACTCATATTGGTATCCATCTTCATTAGTTCACGGGCAAGGGGATTGAAGTTTGAATATATTATCGAATCTAAGGTCGTTTCACTGATTACCTTTCATAACCATTGCCGGCATCGCTATGCTGTGTTAACCCATCGAAACCCAAGGCCGAGAGGGAAGTTCCATGCCTGAATGGCCATCTACTTCCCTCTCTCCTTCTCCAGCCATTCCCCGAACTCTTCCAGCCGCTCCTCTTCATCCTCATCATCGAAGCCCAGCCCCCGGTTGGGGGTCTTATGAAACTTCTCATTGCCCTGTGCAATATATGCGATGACCTGCCGGCCTCCAAAGTGGCGGCCATGCATGACCTTTGTAGGGAACAGCGGGATTAGTAGGTGTACGATATTCATGGCAGAGAACACACACCTTGACGCATGCTTCGGCCGACTCGGTGTCTGTGTATCGAATCGTAGCAATGCCCTCGGGCTCCTTGTCGAAGAGGACGACGTTGGTGATATTCCCGAGTTTAGAGCATTCGTCGCGGATGTCCTCTTTGATATCGAGGATGGCCGCTGGATCCTCCTATCGAACGATGAGTTTCCAATCGGGATGCATCGAAACCCCACTCACCTCGAGTTCGTCCAGGGTGAACATGTGCTTCAGCACCACGGTCTTACTGGTTTTCGACGTCGTTTGATTTGGCGCCACCAACTCTTCATCATCGGACCAATCTGCAAGTTTGCTGTACCACGACGAACCCGGCGTCACAAATCAGTACATCCAAATCTGCGCCGTCGAATCCCCGCTCACGACCCCCCCACGACGACGGCACGGCCGACGTGCGGCGGGGCCAAAGGGAAGAAACATCGATGCACCCACCTAATCATCTTCTCCCGCTTCTTCTGTGCCTTCTTCTTCTCCTTCTCACTCCGCTGTTTGCGCTCCGCCTGCAGCTGCTCCTCCGTCTTGCCCGCGTTCTCCTCCACACTCTTCTTGTAGCTCCAGTCCGCCTCCTTGACGCGGATGTTCCCCCGCCCGTCGCCGGGCCGCAGCTCCGAGTCGTCGAGCATCTGCACGGCGAGGCGGACGCTTTCCGGGCGGAAGTACACAACTAGCGCGTCACCCTTGGGCATGTCCTGCTCATCGGTGTAGATCTTGATCCGCAGGTTTTTGCTATCCAGCTCCTCCGCGATGACCCCGTACCGCGAGAACACCTCACTCAGTTCCTCCACCGTGATATCCGGGGGCAAGTTCGTGACGTAAACGGCTTTGTTCTTCGGCTTGTTCTCCTGGCCCGGCGGGTTCGCAACGTCACCCTTCCGCTTCTTCGAGCCCCCGCCGCCATCGCCTTCCGCCATCCGCTTTTTCCGCTTCTCCCGCAGCGTCCGCGCATCCACCGCCTCTTCCTCGTTGATTCCTTGCACGCGGTACACTTCCGACTGCCGTGCCAGTTCCTCCTCGTCGACGACAGGCATCCAGCGATCGAGGGACTCGTTCCATTCCCATTCGGTGTCGTCTGAGGGCTCTTCCAGCACGTATTTGCCGTCGAGTTTACTGTAGGAGACCCGAGGGTCGGAGAGGAAGGTGTCGGGGTCGTGGGGGAATGCGGGACGGTTTGGAGCAGGAGGTGGATGGGAGGGAGCCTGACCAGCGGTGGACTCGCCTGCTAGCGGTTTGAGTTGTGGCATCTTTGCGTCGATGAAGTTCCGAATTAGCTAGACAGGACTCTTAGGTGAGCTCTCTATAACTGTTAATCGCCTATCAAGAGCCTTTCAGGCTTGCGGGTTCAAATAGAAAGGATTATATGCACGATGTCTAGCACCTGTCGCAAACGGTCGGAGAGGTAATGAGACAGACACCAATCATGCCGTCATACAGTGACACCGTCTGTTCCAATTCCAGCACGTGTCACAGCTAATGGATTGTGCAAAGTGAAATAACAGCGATCAGGGAAGTAGTGAATAAATGATTGCTAGTGAAAGTTATCAATAATATGTGATATGTGATACGTGATATGTCAGTTAGACTTGAGGGACGGGGGAGCTTCACTTCACTCTGTAGGAGGAAATGCTTCTTAAGTTCTGATTGGTCGCTTCGATTCTCCTTCTTCCTCTCTGGACTTAGACCCGAACATCCCGCTGTTTCTCGCGTTTCATTATCAATTGAAAGACTACAAAAACCGAGACTCGACCTTTGGCAACTTCTGCAGGCCTGTTTTATCTCTTGACATAATTCTGGATGCATCCGACTCTCCATCCTCTCTTTTACCGGTGGCATTGGCCCTCGTCGGCCTAGAAGCAGGGAACCATGGACGAAACACATCCCATTCAACCGCCATCTACCTACCAGACTCTAAATGGAGCGCATTCCTCGCCGAATCGAGATCCCTCATCCGATGGGAAAAGATGTACCCCAAATGGCGTCCATATCCCAGCCTCCGGCAGCCTCAGCACCCCTACCCGAAGCGACAACCAAAGTCCCAGCCGGCAACTACTCTCCGATTCCCGGCGTTATAGCTCGAGAAAGATGACCCGCGAGTCCCTCGAGAGTCCCTCCCAACAACTGCTCATCGAGGTCAGCCGCATGTACCAGGATGAGGCGCACCAGTTCCAAATGAAGCTCGAACAGAAAGACGCTGAGCAACGCAAGGCGCATCGAGCGGCGCTAGAGCAAGCGGCGCGGGAACATGAGAAGGTGCGCCAGGGTGCGGAGCGCGCCCGGCAGCTCTTCCTCATGGAGGCGGAGGCGGCGCAGAAGCGGAGGGAAGAGGCGGAGATCCAGGCGCTGGAGACGGCGCGGAGAAGGAAGGAGGAGCAGGAGGAGCGGCTGCGGCGGCAGAAGGAGATGCTGGAGATGCAGCGGAGGGAGGACGAACGGCAGAAGATGGAAACGAGGGAACGGGAGATCCAAGAGGCGGCCGAAGAACGGCTACGGGTCGAATCGGAGGCAAAAGCGAAGGTCGAACGAGAAGCGCAGGAGAAGGCGATCCGTGAAAAGGCAGAGGCGGAGCTCAAGGCAAAAGCACAAACGGCGGCCGCGAAACCAACGACCGCCGCTGTACCAGCAAGACTGCCAGTGACACCCTCGACGTTACTGTCGCAGTCCAACGCCAGTCCGTCCGGGCTACCGATCGTATCCGCCGTCGCGGAACGAGAAGCAACCCACAACGTCTACCTCGAAATCCACAAGAACCTGAAAGATCTGCGGAAGTTCGTCGTCACGGAATCCAAGAAGGACCCCAAGCTCAAGATCGAACTGGGAGAGATGCGACGGGAAATTACGAAGACGGTGGGAACCATCACGACGGAGAATTCGAAAAACATCCAACGGGTATGCCTCCATTATCTCTGTCCCTTTCTCAACAACACCATTTAACAACCACCAGGCCAACCACATCCTCACCATCCTCCGCAATTCCATGGTCTACCCCTCTCCCCCCGTCCCCGCCGCCAAATATCTCCCCCCATCCCACCTCCCCACCTCCCCCTCGCATCCCCCCCTCCTCCCCTCCCTCCTCCTCTACTACACCTCCATCCTCTCCAAAACTCTCCTCCGCCAATTCAGCACCGAAGCCAGCATCGCCCCCTCCGCCGCCGACCCCATCGCTTTCCTCGCCGCCACCATCTTCTCCGACCCTTCCATCCAACCCTTCGGAACCTCCCTTCTCCCCATCCTCCTCGCCAAACTCCACCGCCACGCCCCCGTCCTCTTCGGCATCTACGGCCCCGAAAACACCCGCGCCGGCCGCGCCCGCCTCGGATGGCCCCGCGATGGCCCCGACGGTTATGTCTCCCCGCAGGACTACGCGGAGTCCCTCGCCGGCCTCGCCGCCGGCTACGCGGCCCTCTCCCTGCGCGACTTCTCCCGCTCCAAAAAACAGAACCCCTTACCCAACCGCGAGTTCTGGACGTGCTTGGCCCGACTCGTCAACACGCCGCCGGAAGAGGCGGGGGAGAGCCACTTCGTCGCGGTGAAGGGGCTGATCAGCTCGGAGAAGTTCGCGGAGCGCGTGGTGAGGTTCTGGGGGGAGGCGGGGCGGGCGTTGTTGAGGAGGGCGGTGAGGGAGTGGCCGGAGGAGTGTCGGGCGCGAGGGGCGAAGCGGGGGTCGGGGTGGGCGGCGTTGTTGGTGGTGCCGGAGGTGTGGGAGAAGGAGTTGAAGTTGGTGGTGTAGAGGTAGAAGGCACCAAGCTCGCGGCTCGAGACGCGACGGATCTTTGATTATGGGAGGGTGGGAAATGTTGGTGAGCAGCGGCTAAGACTCGGCCGTGAACGCGAGATAGAAGGAGGAGGTTGGAGGGACAGAATGATGTTTGAATGATACCCCCATCGCAATTGGGACAGAAACGGGCGCCGTATTTGGCATTCGGAGGCGTTTCATAGGCATTTTGACTGGACGTAGGCCAAGTCCAGCATAGAACGAATGGACTACTTCGCGACTTACATAAACGACACGTATCCAAAAGCGAAGTAACTAAACCTATTCGTTCACGTCGGCCAGACATTCGACTACAGAAATCCAGGTCAAACCAACGACCAGATTCGATCACAATCGAAACTATTTAATAAGCAACAGAACGTCTAGATCTATCTCCATTAATTATGATTACCACTAGACTACCCACATTGCCCGCACTATCACTGCTCCTTAATCCGAACGGCAGTCATCCTTAATGGTATTCTCCGCGTCCTGCGACCCCCCACGCCGTCAACGTCCGTCACACCCGCCGTCGTTGGATCCAACGATCTCCTAGATCCAACGAACCATGGAACCAACGGAATCGGTTCGTGGACATCGAAAACGAAAGAAGCGAGCCGCTAATGCGTGATGTGGACGTAGACAGGATCGCAAAGGAAAGTTCGCCAGCCTCCGGTGCCCCGAAAGCGAACACGACGAATCGAAAACGAGAGAAAAAGTCCGCCCGCAATGCAAGATCGACATCGTCGACATGAATGAGTAGTTATGGTGTGGGAGGTGTCATGAAGAAGGGTAGTGCAATGCCAAGTCGCGACATCGCGGTGCGTGCATGTGTGCTGAGCGCTTGCGGAGATAGAAAGAGGATGCGCAGAATGGGTATACGTGAAGTAAAGGGCGGTTCGGGAACCGAAGGCAAAACAGCGAAGTTGAAGAGAAGACGTTGGATGGGGTCGTCGCTGGGTCCGGGGTGGTCGGTTGATGTGAAGAGAGGTGAAATTTGGAGGGTCGAAGAGAAGGGGTCATGTCGGCATCAGAGGGGAAAGGCAATCGGCGCACGGTAGGTGGAATCAAGGACTCGCCGGCGGGTGGCCGCCAGGGGGGCCTCCCATGCCCGGGTCGGCGGTGTCGCTTTCGATGGTCTTTCGCCAGTGTTGTGGAAGGCAGACGCAGACAAGCTGTTCATGAAACATTAGCACCGATCGCGAACATCCAAGCATCGAGGGAAACATACCGGAAACGCCTTGATCTCCCCCTCTGTCGGTCCCACATCATCATCACCCACCCGCGCCCCTTGGACCGGCAACCCACTCCCATTACTCACCCCACTATCCCGATTCTCCCTCCTCCGCTCCTCCCACTCCTCGGCCCGCTCCCGCACCTGGACTCCCGTCGCCCACCCGTCGTCCCAAATTCCCACCACCTTCAACATATCCCCCCGCTCCAGCTCGAACTCGTCGTTTGCCCGCGGAGCGTACGCCCACAGCGTCGCCACGGCGTCGCCCGGCTTGATCTCCTCCTGCGAGTAGTAGTCCTTGAAGCTCTGTAGCTGCTCCGATTGCCCGGATCCCAGCCCTTCAGGGGAGCTGTAGTCGCCGTTCCCGTTCGTGCCTCCGGGCGTCTGCCCGCGTGGCCCGATGCGGGAGTCGGGGCTCTCGTGGTCGTGCGAGGACAGCGACCCCGTGCGCTTTGGGGGGATGCCAGCGCCGTAGTGGCGGTGCGAATCGGGGCTGTCGTATGCGTCGGAGGAGGGGCGATTGTAGGCGGCGACGTGGCCATGGTTGGAAGAGGAGGAGGACGATTCGAGCGCGGCCAGGCGAGCGACGCGGGCGCCGGGAAGGATGTTGGGTGCTTCAGCGCCCACGCCGCTGCTTCCGGTGAAGGACATGGCGGGTGCGGGTGGTCCATGGCGGGATGGAGTAGGTTGATTGAGGGAGCTGTTGGAGTGGGAGGTAGCGGCGCGACGGCGGCGGAGGATGAGGATGCCGGCGATGAGCAGGAGGATAATTACCGCACCGGCGATGGAAGCGACGACGATGCCGGCGATGGCTCCACCTGACAGTCCATCCGAGTCGGATGCAACAGGTGCGGTTCCGTTGGTAGGTTGAGATCCTGGGGCAGTGGAGGAGGGGAATAGAGGGGCCACGGAGGTGGTGAAGGGAAGTCGGACATTCACGCAGCGGGATTCGGCCTGTGCATTAATGCAACAGGAATCGGTGGAGTTGACTGTGCTCGTCGCGCAGTAAGCGCAGAGGCCGCCAAGGTTGTCCTGATAACCACAATTGTTGGGCTCGTTCTCCCACCCCGAGACACAGAGCTTGTTGTCAAGTGCGCCGCCAGGAAGGGCACAATTGGTGAAATCGGCGCGGATTTGGCTCAAGGCACCGGTTCCCGGCGTCCCGCAGAGTTCAGGACTTGCGGTGATCTGTTGCTCGCTAATCGCTTGTTCGGCCTGTGCATAGCTGGTTAGCTCTGTTCAAAGGTCAATGGGATAATACATACACAAGCATCTGCGCACAACGGCGCCGATTGATCCGCCGAGAGGCTGCATGTTCCTATTGAATTCTGCACAATGGCATTACAAATTACACTTGTCGTGTATCGTGCATAGAGGGCGGTGGTGTTAGAAAGATTGACAGACGAACAGCCAATGAGCTGCTGGTATCTGTCGTACAATCAGCCTTACATCCCTGATCTTTCGTGAAGCTTCTTACTTGTGTCGTGGGTATGAAGTTGCGATGTACTGCCGTAATTGTTCGTCAAAAGTTTGTCGGTCTGAAACGAATGCAAGGAAAGGACTGGCGAAGAGGTAAGTTAGTCGATCAACCACTTCTTCTTCCGAATGAAATGCTTACAATATCCCAGCAACCTCGCCGGTCGTGGATATCGACGACGCGTTGAATGCTGAACACTCGCTGGAGCCGGCTAGAGAGATGCAATTCTGAGCCGTGGCAACTGGAAGACTACTCGCCGCGAAAAGTGCGAGGGCAAGAGCTGAGAATTTCGAAGGCATTGAACCCCGTTGCCGGGAGCTCCTCGACGAGAACGTATTCTTGGTCATGTCGTTTGGTACGGACGGCTGGGAGATCGAGATGGTTCGCAGAAGACCCTGAATGTTGTCTCCATCCACGAGAGAACCTTGTTCGACCGTACCAGAGAGGAAACGATTGAATTGATCGGTTGCGCGGTGGAATGGTTGGTCGGGAGGATGATAAAGTGTCGGAAATTGGAACGATGTCTCAAGAGGAACGATGGCCTCCTAGACAGTTCACGCGGGTCCGTAGAAACGAGTGATTCGGACCCAGATGGTTCCAATAGCTCCCCAAACGCGGAGTTGTCGACGAGACGGGTGTCAAGTTGTCAACCGAGCATCGGCGGATGACGGTCTGCGAATCGTCGGTCCGGGAGAGAAACGAAGTGAATCAGAATGCAAAGAAACGTGAAAGTCAAAAGAGTGACTGAGTGAGTAAGGCAACGGCGCTCTCCACAACGATGGAGGCGCTGGAGAGAAGGATGGAGAAAGTGAGGTGAGAGTGAGAGCTGAGGAGCATGAGTGGGAGGAAGGGCACTTCGCTGACTCTGCTGGGATTGGGATGGTTACAGTGGACGATACTGGCGCCAGTTCGAATTGGGGGCGCGAGGAGAGATCACTGATCAGAGAAGAACGATGGGGGGATGGCAGAGCGCAGGGGGTGGTCAGTGTGGTGAAGCTTCACTGTGGTCGTGGTAACAAAGGAAGTGAGGAAGAACGATGCGATGCGACCAACCGTCCTTCTCACGGCAATCGCAGGCTTCCGAAACCACAGGAGCTGGCTGCAAATGTTTCTTTACATCCTCCGACTTTCCATCTACAAAGACTGCAACACAATTGATGAATTGAGGGCATTCAGAGAGTTGGAGATGGGCAGGGAGTTCGATTCTCCAATGGTTCATTTTACGGGAAGCCTTAATTTCACTGTGGCAGCCCCTGGTCACTTTGGATGACGGTGATTGGCCCCACTACGCCACGCTTGTTGCCGGGCCGCCGCTGTCAAATTGTGGCTTCTCGCTTGACTTCAGGAGCTTGAAGCGTCCACGCGTTGGTGCTTCATGTTCCCAATCATGGTATGTATCCGTATGTAGTTGAGGATTGAATCGGACCTTTGTTTTCATCAATGGCGACGGAAGCAAAAGGACGCGCTGATACGGCTCCTTTCTTCCATCGCGACGTTGGAAATTAGCTGCTGCTACCCGCCGCCCTAGGTACGGAGATAATGTAGAGCTATCAAGAGTGCGTAATGGGTTGCAGTAGAGCTGCATTTCGACAAGGTGGAACTGACAGGAACACAAGATTTGGAAGCATGCGACTGGGATCCTCCCATTCCAGCATGGAGGTCCGGGGTCCCCAGTCTATTTGAATCCACCGTCCCAGGGGGGAACATAGATCCGTTCGCGGTAGCGGTGCCGGTCCGCGAACAGACCAACATCTGCGCCGACCACGGACCTGTCAGGACCACGCTCAATCTATTATTCTCCGAGTTCTCCATGCTTGCATATCCAATATATAATTGCGCTTTCTACGGAGTACGGAGTCAAGAAATACCACTTATCTACAGTACTGTGTTTTGCGTGCTCAGACGGTGCGACTGGTTAGAGTCTATAGAGGGAAACAACGTGGGAAATGGGAACGCCGGGTGTGCATCGCCAACCAACTCCATAACAACCCTCAAGCAATCCAAGAACCATCCGGAGTGGAAGAAATCGATTGCCCTTCGCCCTCGACGTGCACCTCCAGCCTACTAAAACGGAGAATCGTATCGGCTCATTAAAGTAAAAGGAAACTGAAAGAGGAACTCTATGTCTTTAAGAAAGGTAATAGGAGGCGAAAGCAGGCAACGATTAAGAGTTTTCGACGCCCTGGGGGGTATGCTTCCAGGCCATCAACTTCTTCCTCCCCATGAACGTCGTTTTTCGAAAAGAACCTGATGGAGCCATGGATTGAACGCGCAGAAATACGTCAGTACGCTCGAACCGATCAAGACGCCGAGATACAAGAGCCAGGACGCGCTGTTCGGAACCATGTTCATACTGAACGCTGCAGTGATGAGGTGAAGAGGTAAGAATAGCTGTTGCACGGCTTAGTATGCGTCTCGGTATGAATACTCTCGATTGCCATTTCTCGTCCTCAGGCTTGGTATCAGTATGCGTTGCGCGTCCCTAGTTAAACAGGGCTTCTAGTTCGGATTTCGGTGGGATGCGCAACGCACGCCGACACCAGGCCTGTGGACGAGAAATGGCAATCGAGAGTACCTGACGGTTGGGTGGCGACGTACGATGTTGAGTTGCGCAAGGAGCCGAATGTTCGCTTCTTGCCGCATGGCGATTTGCCCGTTTTGGTTCGCGATCTGGTTTTGATGCAGCACAGAGCCACTGAGCATCTGTACGGTCTGTCAGGAAGATGTTCTTGTCCAAGTCGTGGTTTGAATGCAGACCCATTGGAGGAGCTCGTGGAACTCGTGATACCGATGCTCCAGCCGATCTCGCAAGAACGAGAGCTCGGAAACGCTGCTTTTCAAGTCCGCGATGTATTCTTCCCACCGCTTCGTCCCGGGATTATTGCTATTTCCTTCGAAGTACCCAAGACTGTTGGCGGCAAACCGGTCCCAGGCCGAAATGATGTCGATGGTGCTCTTCCTAAAACATGTTACGGTCGCTACCACCGTTCGCAGCTCGGATATGTCGCTTCGCTCCCGATCGTGGAATGGGGAAAAGTGTTTTCGAGTCTTGGCTGGTCAGCTGTGGAGTTCGTCTGCCCGGATTTCTGCACGGTCATACATATTCTTCCATCCGATCGTCGAATTCATTAATCAGATCTCTCTGTTCTTCCGTCACCTGCCTTAGGCGTCGCGAGAACGGCAATATATAATTTTCCCTCGGGTTCCATACCGGGAAATCGAGCGGCCGAATGGCGGTCAGTGGGTCTGTTCGCCGGTCTAGATATGTAGGACAGAGTTCTTCGCTGCCGAAGTACGTGTCCACGAAGCAATATGTGGTGTAAAAGAAGTCATCCACGCCTGTCGTCAGGCCAGATACCTCGGCTTCGTAATATCGAACCCCTTTCTCGCCCGGCTTCCGTGGTAGTGGGAGCTCGTATGAGCGCCGTAAACGGGTAGCTTTATACTTCCGCCGATCGGACTTTTCCGAGCCTTTGCGGAGCGCGTAATATGGCAGGTGGAAGGCCATCGCGTATGTCGCTTTCTGGATCAAGAACCGTAAGTTCATGGTAGCCCCATTTGCCCTTGGAGAGGTATGGTTGCCAGAGGCGACATGGACGATCAACGGGGTTCGCTTACAGTGGTAGTAACGTAGATCTGGGCATCGCGCCGCAGGTACACGTCCATGAAATCCCTCAAGTTGCGAGATGTTCGCTCGGGGACGGTGCCTGCGAGCGCCAGAAGGGAGCTTGCGGACGGGTTCGCGACGAATCTAAATCCCACGTCAGAAAGCTGGCCAGGTATACCTTCGTCAGCTCATTACATAGTTCTCCTTATCGCGCCGATGGTATGTCTCTGATCACACTAATTAGTGATCGAAGCCTTGATGCGGGATACGCTCGAACTAAATTCCATCAACAGCGTGCGTCGAGTGCGCGGCCCCATACTTCAACTGATCCAGATGGCGCTTCTGTACCAATGAGTAGCACAGAAAGAACTTGCCTCCTCGCTATAAGTCCTGGCGTAGAATTCAGAGGGGGTAAACGACCGAGAAACGATCTCCTCTCCAGTCATTTTCTCCCCACCGTCCCATCTCCCGGACGTAAAGCATTGCTTCTTGTCGTTCCGATCGTCCAACAAGATCACCTCCCCCGGATGCGCGGGCCCGTCCAGCGTCAGTCCATTCCGCACGGCGTCCTTCAGGTAGTGCTGCAGCTTGGAATATCGAAAATAGTTGGGAGGACGCAGCGGATCGCCCGAGTCCAACTCAATGAACGCGTCGACCAGTGACTCCAGGCGTCCGGTCCGGAAGGGCAGTCGCCTTTTCTCCACCGGGTATTTTTCAGGTGCGCGTCTTGAATATTTGTTGTCCCACTGCTCGGATAAAGGAGTCATAATGGAAATGCATCACACGAACGAGGATGAACAGGTTTTCTCGCCGGTAATAGACTATTGCAACATGACTTGACAATATTTACTGGTCGCAAGACAGAGAAGAGAAATGAAGAAGATTGAAGTCCTTCCTTACCCCCCACAAACCACAAGGCTCTCCCAGCCTGGTGCTGTTGCATACGAGGATGCACGCCTCCAGTACAAGATGTGGAAGGACTCCTCACTGTACAAGTATACGTAGGGACATATGTACCCCGCTTCAGAGTTCCATATTGGTACGTACCTAATTACTACCTATCCTCTTAGGCGATCAAGGCTGGGGTTTGGGATTTGGACAAGCCTCGCTCATCCAGGCTGGAGACCAACGAATTTGAGCAGTGACAAACCTTTCGTCGGCAAATCGACTCCCTTGCCTCATATTTAACTAGTAATCTTAGCAAATAGCTAACTTAGTTAACTAACTTATGCCTTTTTAGTTATACCGAACTTGTCAGAACAAAAAACACCGGTTTTCGCCGGGTTCTAGCGCTATTGGTAAAACGCCCTATAGCTGAGGAAAAGCGATCTAGAATTTGGATATAGAATTTGAATACGGAGAGAGGATTATATAACTAGAGATTTGGCTGCCTATTTGTTAGATAACCGGGGTGGGAGTCTGAGCCACCCGAAATACTGGAATTTAGGCAAGCTCAAATATTGAAGTTTTAACAGAACTTATTAAACTGATTACTTGGCAAACGGACGAAAACAGCGCGAGGGCCTCGTCTCATATATATCTCCAGCTTCAGCCTGCACTCATCATATGCTTCCCGAAGCACTGCTGCAGCCTGATTTCGACGAATGTTGAACCCACCCCTCAAGTTTTCTTTCAGCCATCTTCATTTTCCTGTGTCTGAATATTTGGTGCATATTCCGATCAATGTGGACATGGAATTCCAAGACCAGAAAGTCTTCCTCGCTTCACCGGCGGTCATCATGAGTCTTCACCCGCAATCTGAATCGACCTATATTAGTCCAGCTACCCCCCAACCGCTCGAACCGATACACCCAAAATATACACCGGAGATGACTGCAGTGTGGACATGTGTATGTCTAGACGGCCATAATCGATCACTTCACTAGCTAATGTTAAAGTGCGCCTGTGGCGATGGACCAAGCATTGTTGCTGTTGCGTGCTTGTTTTGCGGGCATACTAGATGTGGCAGTTGCCCTGTTACCTATGTCTCAAATGACATGAACCAGATGGGAGAGAACGTCATCTAGCGCTTGTGAATCTGGTTGAAATTCGACGAGTTAAAAGCTCCATGTCATCCTTCGATCCGCCTTTGCTACTCCTCGCGACCTATACTCTACGCACATCCATTACCGATGTGGAACCGTCTACATATTTTTAAAAGATTGAAGTTCTGGTACATACGGCCACATCAACCTGAATATAGGGCATCCCGTCCGCTCTGCCGTACTCAAGCAGGTTAGAGATGGAATAGTACTAAAAGTCTAAAACGGTGGGTGACCACGTGGAAACTCTCTCGCCGTAGTACTATCCTGCTTGCCTGCCATTGGCCCGGCATGTTACCATACATTCTTAGTCAGTGAGGGATATGTCGTTAGTTAAAGGGGGATTAGATTGTTAGTTTATGTTTTGCGCCCCTGGCAATCCCAAGATAGAGAGGAAAGATCGACCGCCACAAGATCCTTCCAAATTCAACCACAGGATTGCAATAATCACATCGATTCTCTGTTATTCTCGAGCCTCGGAAGGAAGCAACAAGTTTCCCCGCGTATTTGGTGCCTTTCTACACCACAATGGCGTCAAACGACGTGTCCTCGATCTTCTTCACCAGTTTGGGGTGTGTGAAGGCTACAAGGGAGTCTATCGGCATCTCCAAACTGTGGCAGAACAAGCAAAGGCATCCTCACCCGCTCTCGGAATGGACATCGACTAACCGTGCGTAGGGGACGGTCCGTCGATATGGCCAGCTTCTGGACGCCTGTGTTGTCTACGACAATTTCGACTATCGGGAAGCCGGGAAGGTGTCAAGCACTAGCTCATTTCAAACCATGCAGAAATGCGCTCTGTGACAACGGGGAAAGTTTTCAGAGGCGCCGACATTCCCCCAGGTGGATTGAGGAAGTCGATGCTGCACCGCGAGGTTCCACTCTCAATAGAGGACCTTTTCTACTCCCCAAGCGCCGCCATATACGACGAGACTGCCTCCAAGATTGACAGCTACTTCATAGCGGAGGCGATTCGGACGGCATAGGAGATGTGACTACATCGCGTGCCCAATGATACTACGGACGCGTCAATCCCGACATAGGAAAGCTTTATATGGTATCTGTAGACACTTCACTGACCTTGGGCAGTATTTCTCTAGGCACTCTCCATGCCCCTTTAGCCTTAAGCGTGGGAACAGTGGTTGGTTGACGATTCTGACGCGGTCTGGTTTCTAACATATCAGGGTTTTTCACAAGACACAAGCATCGGGAGTGGAAAAAGATTCAATTTCCAGATAAAGTATACCTTGCTGCACAGCCCAGTGAATTTGAGGGCAAATACAATAAGTCCTCTTGTTGTTATTGAAGAATATGCAAAAGTGAGGTTTTCCAAAATCGTGAAAAACACATTCAAATCATCGAACAGTCAGTGAGCGTCATTGACAGGATCCTCAGGCTATTTGCTTGAGGACTCGTCCAATTAACGTGACCAATAAGTCTAGTCCTAGTTGAGTTAGACTCTTCCTGCAAATAGCCTGAGCTTGCTGAGGTAAAGTTGGGAAACGGGGGCATAAACCTTGAGTTCCTCAAGGCACTCGCTACGGTTCTTCCGTATATCGTCGCCAAAAACCTTCCGAACGAGAGCGCCATTTGTAGACGTCTTCGCAGGCTTCCGTCTGCTACGACTTATTCGCTATGCTGTTGTTAAAGGACTCAAAAAATACGATAAGTACTATACGTTTGCTGATTCAATAAACGCATACTACGCAGCAGCTCTCCTGGATCCTAGAGTTAAGAATAAGTGGCTTTCTTATAATCTTACGAGTAACGATGTTCATACGGTTACTTATCGATCAATCGGAGCAGAAAAGGACGCTCGGTTAACTCCAGAGCTTAACCCCTTTACTAACAAGATGCTGCAAATCGTACAGCGGGACGTCGCCCCCTTATCGGATATGGACCGATATTTCGACTCTGGGGTTGTACAAGTCGATACGGATTATAATAAACAATGGCTCTTTAAGTGGTAGGCACGACACGCTGCAGAATATCCGGTCAGAAGCGCGGCAGCACGGGATTATCTCGCGATTCCGGTATCCAGTGTGGCAGTCGAACGACTCTTTAGCGGAGGGCGGGATATGCTTGGTATACGGAGGCATTCTCTAACTGCTGGAACAATGAGGATGCTCGTATTGTTGGATTCCTATTACTCTTCATATAAATAGCTATAAATAGCCGATTTTACCTCTTAGCGGGTCAGACGGATATCCGCGAATAATCAGATCCATATCCGTATCCACGAAACAGGCCAAATTTCCTATCCGGATACACCATATCCGCAGATGATCCGTGATATCCGTGTATTCGCGCCGAGCTCTACATTTCTGTAGACGGGTAGCTCTTAGAACAATGGGACCTGTATCGGAGGAATTGTTATGAACAGTCAAAACGCCACCATCAACAGAGAGAACGGCTACACAAGCTATGAAGGTTTGGGCTGGATTTCGGGGTTTCCGATTTCCGATTTCAGGATCCTGATAGCTAAGATCCCGGTCAGGATATAACTAAGTCTACTACGGTAAAAGTTCCATGCTTCCGGTCAGGGCATCCCCCCTGTCATCCCATGGGACGAGCGGATAAGGGTTACGAGTAAGATAATCTCTACTTTGTCGATTATAGGAAGAGCTAGGATTATCTCCAAAGAAGAGAACAGGAGAGGGCTACATAAGCTTGGTACGCTAACCTAAATGTATATATCAGGCTCTCCTGGGAATGCCCATTTACAAGACCCGGTAGTCCCAACCTGGGCTTTCCACACTCTGGATAATGCCCCCAAGAGCCATCTTATGGAAGCTGCCTGAAAATATATCCTTCCACGTTCAGTTACCATACCATTGATCACTGCAAGAAAATCTGACCGGGGACAGCCCATGGATGACTGAAAGACGCTCCTCATGGCGGCCGCTTCTCACGCGACGTCTGCAAACCATCGATGTAATAAAGCTTCATGGGCCGTGATTCGCCTCTTTGGGTCAATATTCGTCATCCTTCCGACTAAATCTTTAAAATCCGGGTCAATATCTTTCCACAGCGCGAATGGCGCACGAGGAAGCTCTTCGTTGAAGCCCTCGGCGATCACGGTGAATATCTGGACCCAAGGGCTGTCTCCTAGGTACTGGAGTAGACCGTCCAAACTCTCCAGATCAGAGAAATAGGACAGCTGTCGTTCGAGGACGACAGCCAGCTTATCCTCACCATCCTTCAGTTCTTCGTCGGCGACAGCAAAAATGACCCGTTTCGTCAGAGCATATATGCACTATGTTCCAGCCAAGTCAGCAACGGAAGGATTTTTTTGGTGGCACAAAACATACGACAATCCCAAACGAGAAGATATCTGATGGCTTATGAACCTGAGCGGATGCATGAGCCTCAGGACTTCGCCACATCCAACTCCCGACCTGCCTTCCAACGATGGCACAATTGCCGGGAACATACGCTGCGTCTTCAATGTCGGCAATCTGGACCTGACGAATGGTATTGTTGCCATCCGTCTCCTCCCAATCCACCATGATATTATTTGCCTTGATATCCGTATGCACGATATCTTTCTCGTGCAATGCCGCGATGCCTCGGAGTGAGTCTCTCAAGGTTCGTTTTATCAAGGGAAGCGCGACGTTTCTTTGGGCGAAAGAGAGCATATGGTCGTTGAAATATTTGTATGCAAACATGGATTGGTCGGGAATTGTATCATCCGCCACACGGATATAGGAAGACCTTCGAAGATCGTTGAACATGGCTTGAAAATAATTAAGGTCGTTCTTTGACACGCTCTTCAAGACATATTGCTCGCTATCAGCTCTACGGAAGAAAAGTAAGTCGAATATAGAGCTTTGATGCTGGGGTAGACCGACGAAGCAAGATACACCCGTCCAAGCGGTCCTGGTTTCTCTTGTAGAATGCGTTCAACGAGATACCGACGGCCCGATTGACCTACAGCTCGCGTGATTGTAGTCATGATGGACGACTGGGAAAGGCGAGTTGTCCCGGGTGCACGAAAAGTTCAAGAGGTTGTTGAGGCCTCGCGCATACAGGTAGAGTCGAAAGAAGGCCAATTCAAAGAATGGGCATGTCTATTTCTAGAAGGGGAGATTGCTATTTGTCGTGATGCTCTACTATGAGGGGACTTGAACTTGCTAAAAATAATCCCATGAATGAAAATAATAATCTCTCTATTACATACAGGACTGGCGCCTCTAAGCAGCAAAGCGCATTTCCAGCCAATCAGAGAGGAGTTTTAATTATGCTAATCTGCGGCTCAACACCTAGTGCTTTCTTCAAACTCCTAGACCTACTCCGTACAATAATATACATTGCCATCTGTCGGGTTCCGTCTCTGATATCCCCCTAAATGCTGAGAAAGTCGTATAATGCATCAGACATTTAATCGTTTTGTTTTTAAGCACGCAGTATTAGCACTTATTGCCTCAGGAACTTCCCTCGTGCATTACATCACTAGAGCAGCTATTCAACAGTCAATATCATGTGTGCCTTCCTAGCCGCTAAGGCTAGGTTCTCCATGGTGTCATAGGGAGAAGTCCGCCATATGCACCTGCAAGCGCCACAGGCAGACTGTGCCTCACTTTTCATCTGGCGGTTGCAAACTGGCGGTTGCAAAATGTGAGAGAACGCTTGGCGTTTTTTTGAGTGTGTGTGTCCCGCCCGCAACTCCACCAGAAAACGCGATATCACCCATTTTATGACCAAAACGCGCTGAATTCGTGCCTGCAAGTTGTGAAATTAAAGGGAAATTATTAGATTGAGTTTTATATCAAGTTTTTTATTTTTTATTTAGAAAATGGCACCCCAACTGCGTGGAATTGGTACGCGCAGTACGCGAACGCGCGTCCGGTTTGAAGGCGAGATTGAGCGCACTGCTCAATTTGCGAGAGAACAAACAGCTACGAAGAAAAAGAACACAAAGAAGGCGGCCCCAAAGACGGCGAGTCGAAAGAAGAAGCCTAGGTAGCTCCAAAGAAGATATCGGCGAAGGCATCGTCGTCTAGCATACCCAAGACTGCTAGCAAGACATCACCTCTGGAGCTAGATCCGCAAAGGGACCTTGCAGACGATGAGGAAGAGCTAGGAGAGGAAGAGCAGGAAAAGGGTACGGTTACTCCGAAACCGAGCCGTAAACGGAGTCGATCTCAAACCGATCAGCTACCGATACTGACACCACCTACGATGACCGGTTCGAAGGCATATGATCCTCTAAGAGTATGGAGTAGTCCACTCCTAGAGACCAGTCCAGAAACTCTTGCCTACCGGGAACGACGAGCTGCAAACCGTGACCGTATTTTAGGCAAGATTGACGAATATAGAAGGCCCATTGAGAAGGACGTACATAGGAACATCATCTCCAAGCCACCTCCTAGAACTAGGAACTCTCCTACGCAGCCAACTGCACGGCAACAGCTTTATACCGCCATAGACACGTTTCAGGCCGAGAGGATTCCCGATTACAAGATTCGTATCCAGCTTCGCGTCCATGTTAACGGCAGGCGTCACTACGATGCCACCCTAGATACAGTGAGGCGTAACAATTTCGAGATCACAGACGTAGAGGACGAGGTACTAGCGAACCTAGGTAGCCCTCTAAAGGACGAAAACTGGAGATACGAGAAGATTGTTGTTACCGTTCGCGTACCAACTAGCCGGATGACAAACCCCATGCACACGTTTACGGAGTTTGGCGAGGCTATTCGGATGAAGTTCCTTTCGATGGCTGATAGCGTGATAAACACGAAGACATCAATTCTTATAGTCGTTACTCCGGTCTTTGAGGTGCGTATCGTATGCGTGCCGACCTTACAAAGAAGAGAGGTCCGGATCCAAACTCTACGCCTGCCTATGGCGTAACAAGAGGGTCTTCGATCGCGTTGACTTCATCGCCCCCGAAGGAGACTTCGCGGAATATTAACCCTAAAGAACAATAGAAAGCTCGAATGGAGAACATTGCAAGCGCAGGGGGTCGCTAAGAAACAGCTCACTAACCAATGGCTCTGCTCCGACCCCAAGTGTGTTAACAGATTGAGCTTTTGCTACGTCGATCCCCACGACGGCCTGCATTATAATATTCCTGCGATGGTTCAGAAGACTTGGGCAAATCAGATCGTAGCTGGAGATGCTACCGTGGTTAACCCTAGCCCGATGACCTTAAATGCTATTCGAGAACAGGGTCCAATCGCGGCTGGCGCTCGGCGGACTAAACCGACGTCGGCACAACGCGTACAGAGCAATATGGAGGGGATGATAGGCGGTATAGCCGGCGGGTTAAGGGACTATATGGAGGTGATGATGCAGCAACAGCTGATGTCGTCGATGGAGAACCGAGCCCGTCGTGAGGAGCGACAAATGGAGAAGGATGAGGAGCGTGATGAGCAGAGACACCTACTCCGGAGTATAAGTATGCCCATTCCTCCTGGTAGTGTCTATCCGACCGCAATGCCGGGAATACCGCCTGTATTTCCCCATTCAATACCGGTTCCTATGGTTAACCCGTAAGTCGGCATCCGCTTCCCACCGTCAATATATTAACAAATACTTATAGAACCATTAGCAACCCATATGCGCCGTTCCCTCCCGCAGTACCAATAGATGCCCCCGTTCCGTCTATAACAGGACTTTCCCCTACCCCTGTCCCTGGTCAAGCGCAACCGCAACTACGTGCTCAACCGCTTGGGTCTCCGGCTCCCATGATGCCTCCCCCGGCTGCCTATCCTCATGTTGCACCTTCAAGTCCGATCGCAATAGACGAAGAGGATTCGACTTTACTTAATGCTTTCTTCGAATAGATAATCACAAAGACAAAGAACCCGGCCAGGGCATTGAAACTTGAGCACATTCGCGACATTATCGATGACCAAGATTGGTCGGTTAACGATGTAAAGGCGATGGCAGATCCTTCTTCGTTTATGTATAGGCAGGCGAGAGATATGGGCATTAGCGATGGGATAGCACGCAGTGTGATGGATCAGAGGTCTATCGACCTGGATGCCTTGTGGCCTTGTGGCCCGTTTGCTCTGTAAACACCAGAACAGATAAACGCCTCGCACACCTTAGATAGATTCCTCCTTCATAGCAACAATTCAATGTTTGCCTCACGATTGGAGATTCCCGACAGTGAGACTCTTACAAAGAGCTATCTACCATGCGTGCGCGATGTTCAAGATTTGGCAGTTGACCTAGTCACGTGACTATCGTTCAGGAGACAGGCCACAGGCCTGGAACCATAACAGATCTTGCGTATCCAGACCGTGTCATGGGAAAATCAAACGCCATCAAGGGGTATCTCCTCATCAGCCCTTTGGCTTCTTAGACAAGTCCAGTCCTATAGGCTACTATCTCCTTTTAATTTGGAATTCATGTAAACAAGGTCGAGCGTATTACAGTCTAGGGTATTTCCTGGCCAGGCTGACTGGGAAGCGCACCACGTGCCTGCCAGGGATCAATACGCAGACCATAAACGTAAAGTCCTACTCGTGACCTGCCCCACCTAGAGGTGTCCGGCGGTGTGGGCTGTGCCCCGGCTAGGTGGGGCGGGGGGCACGAGTATGGGTCTTGTTGACTTTGAATCGGCAAAAGGTTAATTAAAGGGTACTGCCGTAAAGGGTAATAGTGTAAAGCACCCCAGCGTGACGACCCACTCGGGCCGAACTGTGTATTTTCCCCGGATGCTTTCCCTGGTTTCGGCCACAGGCTTGCATTTTCGCTGATTCAAAGTCAACAGGACCCATAGGGCTCTGCTGCAGGAGAGGATGGCGGTAGGGCTGGACACGAATAAGGATTTTGGCTATTCGTATTCGATTTTTCCTCTTGAACGATTATTCGTATTCGACTAAGTTTTGAGACGTTTTATTCGTATTATTCGCGAATATTCGTAAATAATGCCAAGACTTATTCGGCAAAAGCCGAGCCAATGAATGGATGCCCAGCAGTCGCGACTTTTGTTTACCCGAACACGATCTGGAGGATTTGAGCTCTAAGAGATACAAAGCATATCAATAGCGTCGAATTGATCACTCCTGACGATTCAGCAAGCCAAGTGACCCCAGCTCAAAGCTCTCTGTCGACCATCTCTCCGATGCGAGATACATGGAAATAGCTTCAGAGATAGACGAATAATTACGAATAATTACGAATAATGCGAATATTATTCGTACGAATATTAGTAAGCGGAAATTAGTAAGCGGAAATTCTAAATTTTATTCGTATTCGACTACGAATAGTCGAATATTCGTGTCCAGCCCTAGATGGCGGTATTACTACTTCTAGGCAACGGTTACTTACTAGAAAAGTTGGTTCCACGTCAGCTGATTTCTACTTCCGTGTAATAAGCGTAACCTTTCAAAATACGAGGCTGACAAGTTGCCTTGACAGACCTACAGACAGAAGAACCTGGACGCAAGAGCAAGCGGCCTATGTAACATCCCTCACGTGGTAACGGCGTATTATACAAGGGTAGATACCGTTTATTTAGTTATCCGCACCCCTGGTTCGTTCCGTCGCAAGCTTACTCATCCTCGATTCGAGGACGCTCACCAAGGTGAGCGCCAACCTACTAAACGAGATTACGGTCTAAACGATATCGCTAACAAACTCAGATTTCGTCGATGTATTCCGCCACCAAGACGTGTATTATATAGGTAAAGGAAGAATTTATAGCATAAGGCTAGCTACTAAATCCAGACTTTAAAGTTTCAGCCATTTTAAATAATGGGAAGTGTTCAAGTATCGTTTAGACCGCAATCTCGTTTAGTAGGTGGGCGCTCACCTTGGTGAGCGTCCTCGAATCGAGGATGAGTAAGCTTGTGAACGAACCAGGGGCGCGGATAAGTCGGGCTAAGGACATACTGGATTGGTAATCTAGCAAACAACCCTAAATCAAGTTTCAAAGCATTGGTCCCAGACCAGCAATAGAACCAGCGTTTCTTAAAGCATATCTAGTCAACCCCCTATCCATATCCCTTGAGGTAAACTTAGTCCTTTCGTTCCTTAGCTTACAACCAAATCCTTAAGTCCTAGTACCTTGCCCAATATGCCCCGCATCGCTCCTTACGCTAAGCTATTCAAAGACCCCAAGGGCCCCGGCGATATTCGTCCCACCGCGGCCAAGATCGTGGAGGATCAGGGCCTCGTTGACAGCCCCGAGTGGAAAGGTAGGTAAGCATGCTCGCCAGCAGAAAAGGGAACTTTTGAAGCGCTGTGGGGTAACACTGAAGTCCGAAATGCAGAGTCGTTCTCATTACCGGCTGCTCGCCCGGCGGCGGGCTCGGGCCCGAAACTGCCAAGGCGATTCGCCTCACGGGTGCCGATATCTACATCACAAACCGGGACATCAACAAGGGCAAGCGAGTTGCCGAAGAGCTCTTGGCCGATGGCAAAACAGGCTGGAAGGTAGAAGTCCTCGAAATGGACCTGAGCTCGCTAGGGAGCATCCGCGCTGCAGCACAGGAGTTCCTCCGCAGGAGTGGAAACAAGCTCAATGTGCTGATCAACAATGCCGGTAAGCACCTTGTGTATCGAGGCATCTTTCGTGCACTGCTAATCCGCATCTAGGAGTCATGGCGCCCCCCTACAGCAAGACCGAAGATGGATTTGAAATTCAGTTCGGCACGAACCATCTTGGTGTGTACTCCCCACTCGTCCTCCAAGCACGCTAAGACGACAGCAACTAACTCTTCTCCAGGCCACTTCTACCTCTTCCACCAAGTCAAAGACGCTCTCCTCGCCTCCGCGACGCCCACCTTCTGCTCGCGTGTTGTCTCGGTGTCCTCGGCCGCCCATCGCAACACCACCATCAACTTAGACGATCTGAACTGGGAGAAGCGCAAGTACCTCACCCTCAAGGCCTACGGCCAGTCCAAGCTGGCCAACGTGTACTTCACCAACGAGCTGGACCGCCAGTTCGAGGCGCAGCACCTCCGCGCCAACAGCCTGCACCCGGGCGGGATCCTGACCCCGCTGGCACGCTACCTGCCGCACGAACGCAGCGAGGGGCTTAAGGACATCCCCGAGGTCTACCGCTGGCTAATGACGCCGGCGCAAGGCGCCGCCACGAGTACTTGGGCCGCCGTGGCGCGGGAGCTCGAGGACCGCGGCGGGATGTATCTGGACGAGTGCGCTGAGGCTGTCCAGGTCGTGCCCGAGCCGTACCACCTGCCCGGCTACGGGCCGCAGGCGATTGACCCGCCGACGGAGAAGAAGTTGTGGGAGGCCAGCAGCGAGCTGGTCGGGATCAAGGAGTAAGGGCGCCTTTTGGCTCGGCTGTCGAGAGGTCTTGAGGTTTGCCGAGCGACAAGCTGGAGGGTGGCACTCGCCGGTCGTGTATGTAGTCCACGAAGCCTCGGCCGGATGTGTTCTTGGTGGTTTTGGAAGGTGCTCGTGCGAGACCAAGTTAGCACCGCAAAGTAAAAATCAGTCCCACCCAATGGAAGAATTGTCTTTGATACTTTGTCTGCATATGACGGCTGAAGTGAGATTCATTATTTTACCAATGTAGCAGCGTCGTTGAGGTTGCGCCGTGCGTTACCCGGGTATGTCAGACCCTTAATCGAACAAAACACAACCCCCGCGTCAGGTGATGAACCCCTGTGCTAGGAATTAGAGTTGCGTTAACTAGGTTTTATCGGTCCAAAGGATTTGTACCTATTATTCAATTGTCCAGTTAATATGGTCTTGAGCCCACTGAAGCCTATCGGCTTTATTTCGTTCGGAAAGGGGAGGTTTTCGGCGAGCGAGGTGACGGTTAAAGCCGCGGCTTCGAAGCGCGTTTCGAATAAAATATTCAGAGACCTGAAGGTCTCGAAATGGGCCAGTGGCGAGTTGTAGATAGGATATTGACGCGACTCCTCAGATTGTACGACATATTCGACAATCTCATCCACTTTTTTAGGGGATAATCTCGATTTCCGGCCGGTTCTTTTGCCGGGCGTAGGCCCAGCGGCCGAATTAGCTGTCTGGACCTGCAGTTGAGTAATTCCGAGCTGCTCTGCTCTGTTGATACGTTAAGCCTAAGCGGCGAAGACAACGATCTCGTTTAAGGTCGCACGGTTTTCCCCGTTATGGAGGAGTTTGAGGCCTATCAAGATCCATTCTTATTGTATAATTGTAGTATATGGTAGGACTAAGGAGAAATATTATAGAAATCGAAAAGAACCGGAGTAATAGAAAAGATAGCTAACTAGTTAACTGTAAGTAGTCTAGTCTGAGCACCCCTGCTATTAGTATGAGCGCTAACAACAAATCTGCCAGTAACCGTAGTATGGAATAATGGAACCTTCGATCCGCCAAGCACGCTATGCTTTTCCATCCACCAATCTTCAAACGAATCAAAATACAATGAGGCCTGTGCAACTCGCAAGCCTACCAGCTTTACTGTTTAGAAGCCGTGCTTTTCGATGAAGTGTATCATGTGTCTGTAGGCTTCGGGTGCCTGGTAATGGAAGTTGATACCATGTCCGGTTCCGGGGGCCAACCACCAACTAGATTCTGGTGCGGAAGCAGGGAAAAAGAGCTTGATGGCATCTTTAGCTTTGTTATTCGGGTACAGGCAGTCGCCATGGCAGTTGGGCAAGTCATTCTGGCCATTCAGGATCTGCACGGGTCCCGTAAAGCTGGCAGCCGGCTCCACACCCAGACCGAGATACTCACCCACCGTCACGGTGCCCTTGGTGTCCTCGGCGAGTTGGAGAATAGCGGGATCAAAGCCTGGCTGTCGGAAAAAGAAGAACTGGTTTCCCTGGATTGTGGAGGCCGTCAGGTAGCCATTAGAGAGATGGGCGAACTTGCGATCGGCCTGGGCAGCGATGGTGAGGCCAACGCCGGCAAAGGCAATGGGCGCACCACTTCCGTCAGCGGAGAAGCCCGTCAGGACAATCGCATCCAAGTCCTTGGGGTATGCGCCGGCGACGCCAATGGTTTGCGCACTGCCCAGAGAGTGGCCGACACCCACCACGTGCTTGAACTTGGTTGTTGCCAAGTTTCCCGCGCGGATGAACTGGATGAGCTCATGCGCAATGGCGATTTGAATAGGCAACTGGACGATCTGTATGGGATCAGGATGGTCCGACAGCCCAGTGCCGAGACGATCATAGTAGAAGGTTGTGAAGCCCTTCTCGGCAGCCGCGTCAATGTACGAATATCCCGGCGCAGGATCCCAGTACGTGCCATCGAAACCGGCGCCATGGATGAGGAACTGGATCGAGTTGGGGTCGACCTTGCCAGTATATGCAGGTACGCAGAGACGCGAGTAGATGCCAAAAGTAGAAGTGACCTGAACACGAGGGCCAGTGACGTCCTCGACATATGTCGAGCCAACTTGATCGACTTCCTGTACCATCTCTGTGACGACTGAGTTGTTTGTTGGCTGCTGGACATTGAACTTGATATTCATTGCAGTGGCTTGGATATTGATCGTTCCAGTGACGCAGATCGCCTTGCCGCCGGCTGATCGCTTAACGACTGGGTTCTTGAAGTGCTTAAAGTAGCTGGCAGGGAGATCATGTTGGTAGCTCGGAGCCGCAAGGACCTGTGCGGCCGGCATGAGCGCCGCCAAAAGAGTTGTTGAGCGCATGTCTTCAAAGGTAATTGATAAATTGACAGTCAAACGTGTTCACAACTGGCGCTTGATATTTTGTGTCTCATCTTGACTCCCATCCAAAGTCCAGCGAAGCGTCCACCCCTTTATACATCATTTGATCGACGGAGATGACGATGCTCGGCTTTCCGCAGAACCATAGATCAGTAAGCGACATATTCCGACGGAGAAAACCTCTCTGCATTGCAGGGTCTTTGCAGAAGGATCCCTGCTTTCTAGTATTGTGTCCAGCAGGCCACGTATCCGCGCGCGGATAAACATTTGAAATTGATCCTAACTAACTTAGCACGCGCCAATCTTAATAATTCAGCCTGGGGACGTGGCGGAGAATGCCATACAGGCATTTTGACATTGCAGCTCATAGGCAGACGGAATTGGAATATATTACTCAAACCCGGTCCAAACCTTTGAAAACCCTGAGCAAAATACCATTCGTCGGAAATGCAAAGCCGTGGCCGAAATCCAGGAAGGTATTCGGGGAAAATGCGCAGTTCGGTCTGAGTTGAGTTTTGCGCGCTCGCGTTCTTCGCCCTATTACCCTTTTCGGCAACGCCCTTTAGCCTTGTCGACTCGAGTCGGCAGTATCGAAGAACGCCGGCGCGAAACCCCCGCTCAGGCCGAACTATGCATTTTCGCCGGATACCTTCCCAGATTTCGGCCACGGCTGTTATGGTCCCAGGCCTGTGGCCTGGGCCCTTGAGTATGGCTGACGCCACAGGGATGTGGCTAGTGGATGGCATCAAGGAGATAGTCATGTAGGAGCTGGGTTAAGGAGCTGTGTTAGGATAGCAGAGAGAAGAGTCGATATCTCGCGTACAGAGGTGCTGGGAGATTTCTTCCTTCTCTCTCTTCAGTTTAGATTAATGGAACTTGGTAATCGCAGATCTTGCGCATCCAGACCGTGTCACGTCCTCTACGTCTGTGATCTCAAAATCGTTACGCCTCACTGTATCCAGGGTGACATCGTAGTGACGCCTGCCGTTAACATGGACGCGAAGCTGGATGCGAATCTTGTAATCGGGAATCATCTCGGCCTGAAACGTGTCTATGGCGGTATAAAGCTGTTGCCGTGTAGTTGGCTACGTAGGAGAGTTCCTGGTTCCAGGAGGTGGCTTATAGATGATGTTCCCATGTACGTCCTTCTCAATGGGCCTTCCATATTCGTCAATCTCGCCTAAAATACGGTCACGGTTTGTAGCTCGTCGTTCCCGGTAGGCAAGAGTTTCTGGACTGGTCTCTAGGAGTGGACTACTCCATATTCTTAGAGGATCATGCGCCTTCGAACTGGTCATCGTAGGTGGCGTCCGTATCTGATGCGAATACGAAGTCGTCAGTCAATAGAGGTCTTCTGCACGGTCTTGGCAACCACAGCTTTTCCAAAAAGCGAGCTTTTTTGGCTGTGCTAGTATATTTAACCCCGTCTAGAATCAGCGTATATAGATTAGCGTATGCGTAATTTTGGCCCACCTCGCTGCAATACTACGTAGCGAGGTGGGTCATCCCCATATTATTCTGGCGAGCATAACCAAAAATATGCTAGCCGGCATATCAATGTGCCTACGTCGGATGTAGTTTGCCACGTTTGCTTACCATATATGACTTCTCACGCCAAGACATGAGTGAGGCTTGGCCCATCATGACTCATGTCGACACAACGTGTTGCAAGATGCCCCTGTTGGTTTCTACTGCCACGCAACATTAATTTCGCTGCCCATTACACATAGACTAAGCCTAATTAGGACTCCTCAGTCCTTTCCTATGAGCTGTGTACATATTTAGAGACGCGACGCCTTTTTAAAATCGGCCTCACCAGGAGATTTGCAACAATGGTTCATATAAATGAAAATCGAGCGACTTGGGCGTCTGTTCCAGTGTCCGTTCAAAGACCGTGCCGCATCGAAAACAAAGCCAAATCAGCCAGCCTCCTCCCACTGGCTGTTGTGGCCCATAAACCTTACCAGGGTCTAACCTAAGAGATCCAATTCAGTCAGATCAGTGACCGCCCCGTATCTCATCCCCCATTTGAATATAATCCCAACAATTTCGTACATAAACCAGCTGCTGGCCACATCATAGCCATCCGCAAAGTGAAAACATGAAATATACTCTCCTTGCGTTGATACCCGTTGTACTCGGTCAATTGTGCAAGGACTCTGTAAATACCCCTGCCCAATATGTTATCACCCATCTGCCTCAAGTTATAGACAGGTTTTGCGAGGTCAGTGCCGCTTTCGTCCAAGGAGAAGAATATCCTTGTTATGGCTTTCGCCAATGGCGATTCGTAGACCCAGGCCTAAATATCACACTGAGCGCCTCTACAAGTCTTCGCGGGCCTTCTACCTTTAGTAAAGACCAGTGCCTGATGGGGTTACGTACGATATATGATGCTTGTATACGCGGGGGGATTTACAACGATGAAGACTTTACTTGGAGAGTGGCTTTGAACTCTAGTATGGCACAATAATAACTACAAGCAACACGCTGTCTCCCTGTATCGGAGCATTTCCGGTCCACAATTCACTAGATAGCTAAAACCTGTCGTCAGTGCCAAGCTTTCCACTTGCTTGAATTGGTGACATCCCAATACGGCTAGTGCCGTATGAAGTCACCTCCCATACTCCTAGATAAGTATAATTAGGGGAACTGCGCGAATCAGGGTGACTGCGAATTTTCTCACTATCAACGTTACACGTTTATGCCTCCGCTGCTCGAACGGGATTCCGATGTTCTTGCAGGGCCTTCTGTATCCGAAGAGCACGCTCGTCAAGCCCCTCATCTTCATCTGCCGGGACCTTCCAAATTGGAAGAGCACGCTCTTCAGGAGTGTATTCCTCCCTCAGGATCTTCCAAAACGACAGATCAGGCTCATTAATCCAACCTCCACCTACCAGGGCCTTCAAACCCCGATCGTCACCGACTATGGCCCTCCAATTCCAATTACGAGAATCCTCGTTTAGGCGGTTCAGGTGCTTCCGAGAATCCTCGTTCCTCCAAATCTGAAGAACCCCCTCATCAATGTTCCCATCTTCGTCCCGCAGGGCCTTCCAAGCACCCACCTTTGGAGCCGTACACACTCCCTCAGTAGACTGATAGCCTCTGCATCCCGACCCTGCGCTTTGTACGTCTCCGCCAGGTTGCCCATGCTAGTCAGCGTGGATGGATGCTCTGTGCCAAGCACCCTCTTTGTCGTCTCCATCACTTGCACCTTCAGCTCTTCGGCCTCCTTCCATCGGCCTTGATTCCGGTACGTCCCCGCCAGGTTGCCCATACTGGTCAGCCCTGGGGAGTGACATTGGCAATCTTCTGCATGTGCTTCTGCTTGATTTGGACAGCCTGATATACCAGTTTGACGTAAGGGGAGGGCAAACGGTCTGGAGTCAATCCTGCGAAGGCCTTATCCAGTTGGGTACCATTGATTCTTCGAAATATCAGGAGGTTGTGGACCTCATTTCTAAAGAACCGGCGCCACGCAATGGAAAAGTATGTATTCAACTTCACATTGAAAGAAGAAAGCTCATTGTCATACCAACTTCGAAGGATCGATGCCAAGACTGGGTCCTAAAGGTCGTCGTAGGTCTTGAGGTCGATGGCTTTGTTCCTACAGGAATATCGCATTGGATTTATTCGCTCATCGGTCGTCCTGCTGCACAGTTGCCAAGCGCCTGCGGAGATAGGTGGGTTGGCAATAACCCAGTTGCTGCATAAAGTCGCACGGCTTAAGCGTGATAGTTGGTTCTGATCGGCAGTTAGGTATAGCAGGGTCTATGTATTTAACCAGCACCATACCTATGTCTGGAGAGCGGATTTCGTTGGTTGTTTTAGCGAGCCCAAGTCCAAGTTTAGACTCCACTATATAGTACCAGTGCTTTATTAAATCTTTCGAAGGTTTCGTATTCGTCGGATGAGAGAACTGGCAAAACTCGATCGATAATCTCAGTCCAGACATGGTGTTTAGATCGAGACCTGGCTTCGAAATATTCTCGCTCAGGGATACTGAAACCAGAAGCCCCCCAGTCCAGGATAGCGACAATTTTGCATCGATCATCGACAAAAATATTGTCTGGATGTAAGTCGCCGTGCGAAAATACCTTCCGGTCGTCGCAAAGTGCCATCATTCTATCGACGAGAATCTGGTCGCTTTCGCTCAAGCATCCAGTTGGCCTTCCATTTTTAAGAGCTTCGACTAGGCCATCATTGTAATCCTTCCGGGATCGATAGGGACCGTACGTCTTGTCTGGCCTCCGATAACCTGGAAGGTGTTGGAAGAAAACATCTTGACATGGACCAGAACCCACGGAACCAAAATATTCAGCAGATAAACTCCTCCAACTCTTTATATATCCTCCCAACTCCTCAACGAGATTCTCTTTCTCCTGTTCTGTTATACCGCTCAGTACGTTCCATAATGGTCGGCCGTCAATCTTGGACATAAGAATATACCCTTTCCCATCCTTCTCACATGCATTATACACCTTTGGGATGGGAACGTTGGTGTGGGAGGCTACGAAACGCATCGCATCGGCCTCAAACATTGATACTCCGTGGCCTTTTTCAAGACCCGATCGAGATCCTTTAGGTACCACACTGGTCTGCCTATCATACCAGAGCAGAGATTTATGGCATTCAGCTTGTCGACAACTGTAATTTCTCCCGTATCTAGAATGACACTTCCCACCTCCGTCGGACCCAATGGACTCGTGCTGGACTCCGCATGTTAGCGACATTCATGGTGGAATGACGGGAACTATGAATACACGTACTATAGTGGGGGCGGGGGAACAGGATTGGGTTTAGTAGAGGTCATTTTGCGCGGTTAATTCTGGACTATACTTCAAAGGCATAAGACAAAATTTGCTGTACTTCACGATATCGTGGAGTTTGGTCGTTCACACCGATGCAGTGACAAAGAAATCGGGGAGCAAAATAGCGTGATCCCTTACCTTAGCACGCTTAGGCCATGGTGGTAGTGCCTGAGGCAACGAACCGCGCTATACCTAATTGGTAATGTTCTCTACCAAATAGCCTGAGTGCCAGGTCATTGATTTTGGCCTAAGTCGAGATCGTTTGTATGAGAGCAATTTAACTACTTCAACCTCGATTTTCTCCACAACGAGGGTGTAATCCTGTATACCATACAGAGGTCAATATCACGGTGATGATGATGGTTAAGATGGTGATGGTGAGATCGCATACTATATTCTCCTAGCTAGACTCCTCTTCGTCGTCGTCGTCATTATCCACCGCTAGAGGCATCTTGCGACAAGCCAAGTGTCAGAGATCAGGATTTCAGGATATCTCTATTTTTCGGGGTCCGCCGGTCTCTCTACCGAGCCCCCATTTCTTAGTCGTACTTAGGTGGACTAGCCCCCATGGTTCCGTCGTGGTTCCCACGTGGAGGAGCATCCCACACCCCACGATATCACCAACGCTTCTTTCTTTGCTTCTTCGCTCGTTTTGAGGAAACCAAGGTCCCCACGACCATCAATTGTATACAGAACATAAAAGATGAGCGTATTCTGTTGAAATTAGGGGAATTTAATGATATTATCTTTATTAAATTAGAAAACGTTCGAAATATTCGGATTGCAAAGGCGTTACTCAAATTTGGCAGTTTTCTTGTGAAAATCACGCCAAGGAACTAGCTATGGAACAATAAGACAGGGCCCCCGGTTTGTAACCACCCCAATTTGTAACCACTTCACACACAGCAGCATCAACAACGGAGGACTGTAGATTCTCTATAATAACTCCACCAATATTGAATTTTATATATTATATCTGAAACTGTGAGCAAAGTGACTCGAATTCTGCTTTTTGCAGCTCTTCCGAAATTTTTTGCGCGTCAAATTTGGCCTTCTTCTTCGCCTCCTTTAACTCCGCTTGTCTTGCTTCTTCTTACGCAGCAACAATCTGATCAATCGTCGCAAATCGTTCATTTTGGTCGATTTGGACTCTTTTCCTTTTCTTAGACAATCCGCCTATGTCCTCCAGTGATTTTTCGAGCTTTGCAACTTGCGTTTTTAGTGTTGCGATTTCAACGTTCTTCTCTGAGAGTGCCTTCGCCAATTTCCCCTGTAAACCCCTGAAATCCCGCCCAGACATGTCCTCAAACTTTTGCCCCGTATACACGTCTTTCGGGCCTTTTGGTGTATTAAATATATAATCATATATGGGTTCTGGGGTCACATGACGTTGTATAGTATGGTTCTCGTTTAATTGGGTGCTATTTAATACTTTGTGTGGGTTGAATGGGCAGATTCCGGTCCCCCTGAATTCAGCGCGGATATTATTGTTTATCAAAGCTTGAATGCGGGATTTATTATAAATGTTTATAAAATTATGCTTTTTAACTGGGGCAGAGTCGTCGAGGGAGCTCAATTGGGTTAATTCTTTGCGATACTTGCTCTTCAGGGCCGAAAAACAAGCGACATCTAGGGGCTGAAGTAGATGGGAGCAATGGGGAGGGAGATGTAGGATAATTACCTTATGATCCTTGTATAACTTCATGAATTCGACCGTCGCGTGCGACCCGTGCCCATCACAAATTAGGAGACGCCATTCCGTACGGTTTTTTGGTGCGGTCTCTGGGAGGAACTTCTTCTCTAACCATTTGAGCCCGATTTCGTTTGACGTCTAGGCGTTCTCTAAAACTGTCCAATGCCAGTCCTTCATGCTCGAGAGATCCGCAGGAAACCAGGTAGATTGGAGGTTTTTGCCCTTGAAGATAATGAGCGGAGAGATCGCGCGGCTAACGGCTGAAATGGCCTCAATGATGGAGACCCATTTGTGGTCCTCCGGAGTTTTGATATAGGTCTTTTTCCTATTGCTCTTCCTCATCTTTTTCTCCTATATTGGTGCTAAGACACGCCCATTCATACCACACCCAAGCGCAATCCCGTGCTCGTCGAAATGCCAGATATTCTCCGTTTTGATGTGAAATTGGTCGATCAGGCTCTAGAGAAGGTTGAACCAGGCTGCTATGATTTCCTTGGACGAACAATTTACGCGGGAAGCTTCGATTGATTGGCCCACCATTATTTTTATATGGGGGTTTCGCTTGAGGAATCCGTCCACCCAGTTCTTCCCGCAAGGTGTGTGGTCACCATTTTCGCGGGCAATTGCTTCGGCCATCTGACGAACCCTGGCGTGGGAGGGGGCATTCGAAGCCCGGTCTTCTAGGGCTATCCATTCTGCTAGATATTGTTCTTGTACAGGAGACAGCTTCTGGAGCTTTTGGGCACCAATTTGGTGCGATTGTCGGTCTTTTTGGAGGCGCTTTTGGAGCGTGGAGTAGGTGACACCGTACTGGTCAGCGCACTTATGTATAGAGTCAAATTCTTTATTTATATAAGTCTGAATCGCGAGCTTTATAGCCTCTTCATTAACTTGAGGCATAGCGACACATTTTCAGCATGATTGTGTGGTGGTAGATGTATTCTATTGACCTATCCCATCTCCAGATTGAAGGGGTTTAGGTTACAAAGTGGGGTGGTTATGTCGCATTACGCGGGGGTGATGATTAAGCAAGTTCGCTGCTTAAGCTCAGTTACTGTATAGACACAACGCATGTTGATATTGACGATTCCCATTGTATAGAAGAGAGTGTCCTCGCTAGCTAAACCGTTGAAGATAGGCAAATACATAGGAGAAGAGTGAGCAGTCCTAAATAGGCTTAGCCTAGGGGTAATGGGCAGTGAAAGGAATGTTGCGTGGTAGTAGAAACGAACAGGGGCATCTTGCGACAGGTTACAAACCGGGGGTCCTGTCTTACGCAACCGCCTGATGATCCGAAGATTTCCCGCCTCCGCTGCTTGGTCCACCTGCTTCGACCTCACATATAAAACGCGCGTGGCAGGACAAGTGAAGCTGAATAGAGCTCGATATACTATCAGACATTGAGTCTCAATGGGAAAATCGGAAGTCCAGTCGGTGACTAGCAGTGTCCGTAGTATTGTATGTGTAGTCAACGCGCTCCTAAGATAATAGTCAGCAAACGACACGAAGCCCTGATCCTCAATAGATAGCACCCATAAAGCCAAACCTGGCATACTCACCTCGGGAGTCATCGCATTCCATTTGCGTTCACGAATTTTATTTTTGACAACGTAGTATATCTTTGCGTTGAGAAACAGAGCAATGCTCAGTATGTTGATTCCAATCAAGACTTGGTTGCCTCGCTTGTACAACGGCTTGTCATCTTCACGATAGATGTTTGCCGAGATGATGCTGGCAATTTGAGCGCATACTGGAACGGTGTCGTTAGGACTGGTGGTACCGGAAGCCAGAAGGAACATAGCTTACTGTTGAATAAAGCAGCAGATACGCTGCGAGAGCCAACGTTGTTCGAGTTTTTCGACACCCAAGCCCTATATAATGCCCAAAGTCATTAGATCTGGTGACGAAAGTTCCTGCCTATCTAACAGAGAGTGACACTTACACGTTAATAGCATAGGCAGATGGACCGCCCAGTAAAACCGTGAGTAGAGCATAAGTTGCCCATTGTTCTTTCATAAGACCTGGCCACACTCTAAGAGCAATAATGCAAGGAAGGGTCCATAAGGCTTGTATTATGCTGACAAGCCCGCGTTCATTTAATTTTTCGCTTAGCCGGGTAATGAGGATAAGAAAAATTATACTGGCCACCGCTGTTGGAATAGTAAGAAGGTTGGTGTGGAACTAAAGGCATTAGCTGGTGGAACGCCTGTTAGAGATAATACTTACTGTGCTAAACCCAATATTCCGAAGACTTTGCGTGAGATAAATAGTGGGTGGCCCCGATGGAACACCACAGATGGCGGCGAGCAAGTAAATCTTGATATACAGTTAGCATCCGCTGGTATCCCAGTTAAGAAGGTACCTACCGGCCAGAGATCATAATCTTTCAGTGCAGTCCATAGTCGACGTGGGGTGATTGCCTGTCGATTATGCATGTCTCCTATTGCCGTATATTAGTCTCGGCTCGCCTCGAGATATAGGTTTAAGTTACCTTTACTAGGATCTTCTCGCAGCACTCGGTTCACCACAATAGTAAGTTCGCGATCAGTAAACCATCCCTTAGGTCGAAACCACGTCTTTGTCTGGGCTGCAGAAGCCGGCATAAGGAAGAAGGCCGCAATGCCAATGACAAGTGTCATCGATCCTTCGATTAAGAAGATCCACCTGAAATTGTGTTAATCATTGTCTAAGAATGAAATAAATAGAACTTTACCTCCAGCCTGCAATACCATGGTGGCCTTCGAGATGGAAGATTCCAAAGGCAAGGAGCGAAGCAATGATACCAGTGAGGCTTAAGGCTGTCCAGAAGTAGCTCAACCTAATGGGGAGCTCCCGGCCGGTGTAGAAGTAGGAGAGCCAAAGTATTAGGTCTGGGATGAAACCACCCTAGATTTGATTCAATCAGTAGGGAAGCATTATGGGAATCAGCTAATATACTTCAAGCATTCCAAGCAGAGAACGAGTTGCAAGAAATCCGGGTTTGCTTCGAAGTCCTGCTTGCGACATGGCGACTATGGACCATAAAACCATTTGGGTAGGAATCCAGCGGTCTGGACCGAACTTTTTCGAGATTAATTGAGACGGCAACTCGGCTAAGAGGAAAGATACTAGGAACACGGTATGTCCAAGATTGAAATCTAATACTTTAAATCAGATATCATTAGAAAAGAAAGGGTCGGCCTACCCACCGTTAGTATTAAGGTGAAGATCCTGTAAGAAAGTTCCTGAAACAGCTTGACCGATATTTCCACGATCAATCTGTAGACTGAAGAACATGATGCATGCCCACAAGCACACTATTATAAATAATTATCAGTCGAGTCTGTAGATACTAGATAGTGTACATACCATGCCAGTCGAGTTTCCTGATGATCTTCTTCTCCTCTTCTTTTGTCCATGTGGCATCCGCGTCGAAAGCATGTCGACACTCGTATTTTGCTTTCTCATAGACACCAATATAGTAGTCTCGGACCTGGGGATCCGCAAAGGGATTGGCCGAAATGTCGACTTCTCCAGTGGTCACGATAGCTCCTTCTTTGGTGATAATGTTGCCTTTTGTTGTCACCAACTTTGCGTCGTCCAAGACAACTTTTGTCACCGCATGCCCCACGTCAACCTGTTCGGACGATAGGCTGGAGTCATCTTCCGACTTGTCCCTGGGGCGTTCGACTGTCATGGCGTTGTAGAGCAGGTAGGAATAGGGGTTCGTCCTAATTCTTCTCAGTAGATGGATCGGGGAGGAAGAAGGGTCAAATATACTTCTCGAGATCTACAGTCTAAACCCAGTAACAACTGGTGTAGCAACGGGTGTAAGAATCATGTTCTCCTCTCATCCTTTGCATGGGAACCAAGAATAGCATGACATCCATAGTAAGTATGATGTGCTTGATATGCTTTCAGTATTGGAGATGCAGGCCAAAACCCACCTCTTCTCTAGTAAGAATGATGTGATTAATAGGAGTATCCATTTTCGGAGATGCAGGCCAAGTCCTCCCCTTCCATGGCATCGATGGCCCACGATGTGAAAGTACTCGGTTGTAACGAACGCCGGAGTGATCTACTCATCTTCCTATGCATAGTAAGTTGGTAACTAGGAATTGTTCAAGTTGAAGACTTGGGATTCATTCAAGTAGTTAAGTTCTTCTGGATGATAGAACTATTTACATGACATATTCCAATTTAGGAATGTGTCAATTGCACCACATGATGGTTGCTTCCAACAGGAATTACATGGCGTCCATAGTGAGTGTGAGGTGATTCCAAGGATTTCTGTAACAATTTTTGGAGATGCAGGCCAAGTCCACTTCTTCCATAACATGCATAATAAGGAATGATGCAGTAGTAACAACCGCAGGAGTGATGTGCTGGCTCTCTCTTCCTATGCATAGTAACCAGGAATAATAGAACATCCAGGGCGATTATGATGCGATCAATCAGCTTACAGTAACCACAATCTAAGATGCAAGTAGAGGCTGTTCTCTGCTACGCCTAGAGCTCCGAAATGAATAAATGAATACGAATATGGCCCTTATTCATATTCGCTCTTCACGAATATGAATAATATGAATATTATTCATATGAATAAGTTCGAACCCCTGCCTGTTGGCCAACCACCTACTTGGCCAGTATCACCATCTTCACCACCATCACCAAACGCGTAATATCTCAACCACCATATCGTATTACGATGTCAAATTCAGAGGAGATACTCCTACAGGCTATCCATGCCGTAGAGACCGGTCAATGCAAATCACAAAATGAAGCTGCGGCCCTATTCAAGGTCAATCGAGCTACGCTTCAAAACCGCCTCAAGGGCATGCAATCGCGCTCTACAGCTCAACAATCGAACCAACGCCTTACACCGGTGCAAGAGAGGTTTTTAGTCGACTGGATACTTGAGAGTGACGCTCAAGGATTCCCCCCTACCCACGCACGTCTGCGTGAAATGGCCGCGCGAGTTCTAGAGCTTCAGGGTGATTCTACACCCCTTGGGAAGAATTGGATACCA